TCGCGGCGGCGGCGGCGGTGCGAGCAGGAGCGGCGCGCTCGCGCCCAGGGCGACGAGGGGGAACTCGAAGATCGCGAGCGTCCACAGGTTGACGCCGTGGAAGAGAACCAGCGCCGCCCCGACCGCGCGGCGCCGCACCAGGAGCAGCGGTCCCAAACCGAGCTCGAACAGGACGGCGCCGCGCGTCAAAAACCCCCCAAGCCTCGGGGGCATCGCGCGCGCGGCGCGGGCGCCGAGCGGCGCCGCATAGACGGGCATCGACAGCGCTGCGCGCAGCGCGCCGCCCGTCCGCACCCACGCCTCGCGCCCGAGACCGGCCTTCTCGGCGCCCGCGAAGGCGTGCGTGGCCCAGATCTGGAAGAGGACGCCGACGGCGCCCGCGCTCGGCCCCGGGTCGTCGGGCGTGAGGGCGACCCAGAGCTGGACGAGCGCCGCGTACGCCCACTGCTTGCCCAGGCCGTGCGACTCGGAGCACGCGCGCTCCGACGAATGCAGCAACACCCAGAGCAGGGTCTCCCGGAGCGGGCTCGCCGGCGCATCCCTCGACGCCGCGAAGAGCTGCGCCGCGCCGAGCGCCGCCTCGAGCGCGTAGAGGGCGTAGGACGCGCCCTCGACCTTGACGTCGTGGAGCGACGCGTGGCCCACGGCGCCGACGCGGCAGAGGCCCCCGGGGCCGTGGAGCGCGTCGTGCAGGTTCGGCAGCAGGTTCCCGCGCGCGTCCAGCAACGCCGCGAAACCGCCCGTCGCGAGGAGCCAGCGCCGCGCGCCGCGCGGCAGCGAGAAGGCCCGCCGGAAGCGCGGGCACCGGTCTTCGACGCGGAGGTCGAGCGCGCGATCGAGCGCCGCGACCACCGCGGCGACGGCGAAGCACGCGGACCACGCGACCATCCACAGGGTCACGTAGTCCTCGAGCGTCGACGGGAGGAGCGCCGCCGATCCTGCCGGCGCGGCCTCGCCCGCGGCCTCGCGCTCGCCGGCGTCCGCCGCGGCGTCGGGCTCGTACCGCGCGGCATCGTCGTCGTCCAGAAGCGATGCGCCGGGCTCGGACCGCGCGGTGTCTTCGTCGTCCAGAGGCGCAGCGTAGTCCGGAGACGCGGCGTCCACGTCGGACGCCGCGGCGTCGCCGTAGGGCGCGGCGTCGCAGGCGGCGTTCAGGCGGGCGTGCGCCTTGATGTACTCGACGGCGCAACCGTCGTCGGCGCAGCCCATCTGGTCGAGGGGCAGCGCGAAGCGGGCCACGAACCCGCGCACGGCCGCGTCGAGCTCCACATCGTCCGCGAAGGCGAGGCCTACGCCCGCGCCGTCGACCTGGATCGTGACCTCGCAGACCCGTGCCCGAGCGCCGACCGCGGCGTAGGCCAGCGCAGCGCGCGCGACGCGGCGCGTCATTCAGATGCAGCCTTCTCCGAGCTGCGGTACCCCCCCATCGAGGACACAGCCCGGTCCGAATTTTCGACGAGCGGCAGAGCTACTTGTAGTAGTTTCCGTCCACTTGGCCTTTCGTATCTCCCACTAGCCTGAGCTAAAGGAAGCAAGTAAAATCCTCCCTCAAGGGGAGGTTGAGCTCAGTTTCAATTAAAGATGCCAGAATGAAGGCCGACGGACCGCGCTTGGATGGCGCAGCCACCTCAGCGGGGATGGAGGAGGGTAGGGCAGGGCGGGTGCTTCATTTGTGCCGACTCAGAAGGATATGGAAATGCGGCTATTGTTGCCACAATCATTATGATAGGTTAGCATGCAAATCCTCAGCTCCTCAAACCTACTTATCATCAGTGGGTCGGACGGAGACTTGCTGCCGCTCCGCTTGGTAATTCCGCCCATTAGCTTCTCCACTTAGTCTTTAGCTTTGACTTGTTCATGACGTCTCTGTCCTCTCCTCTTCCTGTAGTCTTAAGTTTAGACACATTGTTCACAAAGTCTACCTTGCATCCGAATGGGTACAGTGGTATTGAAACTGGATTAGAATGAATTAAGGAAGGGAAGGGAAAACTAGCAGGATACGCAATAGGAGCGCAGTGGGGTAAAGTGCACTAGAAAAGTGCACTGCAACATCAAGATGCAGTTCACTGAAGATGAACGCGTATCCCGTCGATCAACATGTCGTCCACGTATAGTACAATGATGACGCGTAACGTGCCGACCATGGGAAATGTTACCATCTCCTATGCGCTAAACGCTCTCTGTAGCGCGAAAATGCCTGACTGCAAGTCAGGTGAAACTCCCCGGCTGGGGGAACGTTGGGGGAGCCTCTCTGGTCTCTTGTGAAAGTTGATTGCCCTGCTCAGCTGAACAACCAGCAGTTTTATTTAGCTGGATGATGATAGGTGGTCTAAACTCACTAACTCGTTACCCGAAACATATTGTACTGCCGCAAATGCAATTTTTTTTTTTTCCAACTCGCTGCACATCGCTCGTCGTCACTTTCCACCTCGGGCTTGGGAGCGGATGAGCTCCCCGGAAGAAGCAGGTAGTAGACAGAGAAAAAGAAAGTTTGGCAGTGGTTCCATGGTATGGGGACCATGCAAAACGCCCTTCCTGGATAAGGATATCAGGGTGGCGCTGCCGATGAGCGTGTCGATCAGAGGCCGCGTGTTTCGCGCACTGGGGCGGTCGCCGTGGGGCGGGATGCTGTTGTGTCCGTGAGAGGAGCTGGCGATGTGCCGTGTGTGAGCTGTTGACTTTAGGAAGTGAGCTGAGTAGATTGGCGTGAGAGCCTGGCGCTGGGGCCTAGCCGTTGAGACGTGATGGGGCGTTGGAGCCGGGCGTAGGAGCCTGCTGTGAGCTTGTAGATGTCGCGATGGTCGCGGTATGTACGTAGGGTGCATTTCAAAGTTACTCGTTTCCGAGCATTGCATCCACGTTGGCCTTGAAGCGGTCTGGGGCTTCAGTTGCTGTGAAAGCGTCGGCGGGGTGGAAGGTGTTGGACCTCGAGGGCGCGTGGCGTCGCCGCACGGTGTGGTAGGCGACGGGCGTGCGCCTTGAGGTGCAAGAAGCGGCGCGGGGGCCGAACAAAATTTGTGTTCGGGCCTCGGCCGCAGCCGAGGCCGTGGGCCGTGAGGTGTGAATCAGGAGCGGCGCTTCGAGTAGCTGTGTACTCTCTGCGCGCCCTGTGTGCTGCAAGAGGGACCGCGTCGGTGTCTTGCGAGCGTGTGCAGGTGCGCAGCGACGGTAGTCGCGTGGAGCGAATTCGGTTCTGTTGCAAATTCGGTTCTGGTCGATGTCCGTGCACCGCGTGCTTCAGGAGACGGGCGCGGAGCGTGTTGTGCTGCCCCACAGTGTGGTAGGCGATGGAGTGCGCGCCCTTGAGGTGCATGAAGCGGCGTAGAGTGTGGCGCTGGTCGATGTTCGGAAAAGGATTCTGATCGTCGTTCGCGGTTTAGTAGGCGCCGATGTGGAAGGTGTTGGACCTCGAGGGCGCGTGGCGTCGCCGCACGGTGTGGTAGGCGACGGGCGTGCGCCTTGAGGTGCAAGAAGCGGCGCGGGGGCCGAACAAAATTTGTGTTCGGGCCTCGGCCGCAGCCGAGGCCGTGGGCCGTGAGGTGTGAATCAGGAGCGGCGCTTCGAGTAGCTGTGTACTCTCTGCGCGCCCTGTGTGCTGCAAGAGGGACCGCGTCGGTGTCTTGCGAGCGTGTGTAGGTGCGCAGCGACGGTAGTCGCGTGGGCCTAACCTGGAGTCGAGTGTCTTAGGGACAGGAGGGAATAGGCTTCTGCCACGTGCCCGGCGGGGCGGAGGCGAGCCAGGGGCGAGGCGGGGAGCGAGCCGGGGACCTAGGGGCAGGCAGCCGGGAGGCTGCCCTTGAGTATGGAGGTCGATGGTGAGGTGGCCGGAGGCCATCCGAGGTTGAGGTAGGAGTTGAGGGTAAGTTGCCCGACTCCACGGCGCAGCCGTTCTGCGTCTCGTACATGAGCGCCTCGTCTCGCAGGAGCGCGTCGACGACGATCGCGTCGACGCGCGCCAGGGAGTCGCCCGCGCCCTCGAGGATCTTCAAACCGTGGCCCTGCGCGTCGACGTAAAGAAAATCGACGTGCGCACCGACGGGCAGCAGCACGTCGAAGACCGACTTCAGCGTCATCGTCGGCACGCGGCGCACGCCGCCGACGGTCGCGGATACGCACTTTTTCACACAAAAAAAAAAAAAAAAAAGAGGCGCCGAAGGCGCCGTTCGGGGCCTGG